GAGAGGTTGACGTCCTGCTCCCTGCGCGCGCGCGAGTCTGTGTGTCTTGACTGGGTTCGGTTTGCCTTTATGTAGGTCCCAGTGCGTATATGTGGGCCCGTCGGCACATGAGTGGTTGCTACGCTGACTAGGTGGTGCAGACAATCGATGTCCGATGTGTCAGCCTAATGCGACGTGTTTGTGCGTATGCGAAAATAGACAAGCCTCGCGATCCAGTGAGCGCGTGTGAGTTGAACAGTCAAGTATATGGGTGACTGGGTTGCTACAATCCCATCGCTAAACCTTGTTCTTGAGAGTATATAATTGAGTTGAAAGCAAAATGACTGAGGTTTAGGCATACCCTTATGCCTTTAACTATCTTGCAGCGTTCTGTCTGACAGTATAGGCCTTCTCGCTACTTCCACAGTGTCCGCTTTAGGGGCATTGGTATACATCGAGTTGACATCAAATCTAACCAGAACTTCGTCTAGCTCTAACAAACCTCTCTGAAACGATGACTTCCCAATAGGTCCCAAACATTTTTCAATTGATTGATAACGTTCTCTCACTTTTAGGTTTGGGTGCTGACTGGAGACAAGGAGGAGACGGCAATCACAGTAAGCCAGGCAGCTGGACACTTTGCCGAATCAACGACGCTGCTTCGCATAACCGGCTGCAGGGAATTCAACGAAGCAGCTGAACTAGTGTTCAAAAGCCTACGTGAGGTTGACTCCGATCATGAGCAGCGTTATGCGATGGCCAAAAGTCCACTCAGTCCCACATTGGACGAAATCGGCGAGGTGGTCTACACAGTGGCAGAACAAGAAATCGAAGAATACAACATATCGAACCAGGCAAAGTATGACCAAAGCACTTTGAAAAGAAGTGTGAGGAAAATACAAGCCTTTTGGGACAGGCTGTTTGCATACACTCGTGGAAGCAATAACCCCCGGGTGCCAAAACGCAGGATTCCTCTCAAAAGTGGAGCCGCGGATGAAACATTTAGCTTGGTAGTCGATGGAGAAAGCCTAAAGCACGCACTGCATGCAAGTTTCACATTTTCTGAACCTTATTGCTCCTATTGGCAAATACTTCCGTTAGCTCTCAGTGTCACTTTTTCACCGGGGATTGTCTCAAATAGGTACGTTTAAGCGCCTCACAGCTCTTCTAAGTAAAGAAGCTTAAGCCATAAGGTGAACTGAAATGTGTTCACTGACATCTGATAACTCACACGTCCTATAACCGATTCCCCAGGTACCGGTATGGTCAATGGTGCTTGCCAACAGCCGAAGAGACAAGTTTGATCGTGATGTACTCTAGGATTTCTATGGGACAGATCATAAACTGCTTCGAATAGAGCACTCTCCTGAATGTACATCTCAATGGGAGATAGGCAAAATCGATAGTACCTATGGTTTTACGCACTTCTATTTCCATGCATTAACTGACTTGGGTCTCATTCCAATTGCCGGAAAGCTGGCTATTATGAGACATTTTTACTCAGAAAGATATTGGATGAGCATGCAGGCATATGATCGAGTCACCTGCGAAGGAACAAGAGGATGCAGGCAACTCGGCTTAACTCGAAGAAGGTAGTAACACTGTCAGGTGTTAGTGAGCGGCGGGACTCGGAACGTAGCGCATTCAGAATATGGGAACCCATACACGACAAACGACCCATTATTGATTGCTACCTGGGTCAGAGTTTCATCCCTATGTAAGCCGAATTGTTGTTAGCCTGCTTAACTATTCAGAACAAACGGTTGACCTGGTAACAAGCTTTTTTGCTCCAATTTCGTTTCAGGTAAGTTTCGGCCTTAACGTTAAAAACAAAATCTTGTCAACCCATCGTTGATAGTTTGCCAATAATTCCTGCTTGTTTTCCTTCACCCTCCAGCCTTCGCTAAGGATGGCTTTCCTGGATCTGTGCATGAACGTCACCGCTGTTGTTTGCTGTCGTGTGACACCTTTGCAGAAGGCTTCGATTGTACAACTCGTTCAGCTTGGATTGGGCGAATCGAATCACGGAGCTGGTCCTGTTACCGCTGCTGTTGGAGATGGGGGCAATGACGTATCCATGATATCTCAGGCAAATGTTGGGATTGGAATTTACGGCGAGGAAGGGAGAGAAGCCACGCGGGCTGCAGATTATGCCCTGCCGCAGTTTAGGTGAGTTTAAAACAGGCTTTTAAGTTTGTAATACACTACTCATAAGGTTGCTGAAAATTCGTCGACAGCACACGATCGGTTTCACCCTTCTAGGGGCTCATCAGGTGGGCACAGTCCCCGAGTTTCCGTCAACCATATGTTCTACTTGAAACCAAATTGCAGGAAATTAGCGAAATACACCCATTTGCAAACTAATTTGGTTTTGCCAGAGACTCACCTGGAACCCACCTAAATCTCTCGTTTTTGGTGTTTCGAGAAACTTAAAGTTCTTGATCGCCTTAAGCTTTCCTGCAATTTATTTTTTTTATTTTTTAAACCATCTTACAGCCTGTCTTCCACATTAAGGCAGCATGATTACTTGCCAAAGAGCTACCGGTGGAGATATTCTGTCCAGAAATATGTTTCCAGAAATACGTTTGCATTCTGATGGCGCACCGGTTCGTGCCAAAATGTGCGTTAATTCTGCACGAGATCTATGAATTTGCAACTAACGGCCATACCTACCCCTAGCCAACGATGAGCCTTAAGACAAGTTCTTGAAGAGCATCATTCTTTCAAATGCCTCACGGCAAGATTTTGCCTGAGTCCAGTGGTCTTGAAACTTTTCTGGCTGCTTCTGAAGCTTTCCGGATCGAAATACTCACGGGATCCTCCCGGATTATTCGGACCCTTGTTTTAGATCCTTTAGGAATGCAAACCATTTTAAATAACCTAAATAACTTTGCCCCACGGTTTGTAAGACGCTCCTCAACTGCAAATTGTAAAGTGTTCCCACAAACGTCGGCTGAATCAGACCAAAACCCCATGCTCCCAGATGACCTGGTCCGCGTGGTGGGCAAATTCACGTGGATAGTTGTATAAGTCCCGATGAACTGGCTGAAGACAAGATTAATTCTCGAGTCGCAAACCAACCTCCGACACGAATGGCGCCGAAGCGACGTCAGTTTGTTTGTCAACAGCAGAGTATGCACTACTGCATTGCGATCCGTACTGCTTAAAGAATCAGACACCTGACATCTACGCTCAGTGGGCCTACTAAAGACGTCAATATTTGATCATCGGTGCCTCCCAAGCATTGTTAAGTTCTAATTGGGCCATCGGACTAGCAATGCTGAGGTTCAATAGATTGTCTTAGGAAGAAGGAACTCTCCCTTTTCGAAAAAGTTTGGGGACAATCGGTAGATTTATTGCTGGGCAACGTTTCGCTTTTGACATAAAAGCTTCGTCAGGCCAAGTGACTAGGTTCTGGGGTTGGTCGAGATTTAAGGCGGAAGGAGAACCAATCAGTTAAGTCAAGCTAAATCTCTGTTGGGTGTCGGCCAAGGGATTTTAGTGTGTTAGAGTGGTTGAACAAGTGTTGGGTCGGTGGGGAAACCTACATGTGTTTGGGTCCAGGCTAGGTTCTAGTTCTTCTGGTTCGGCTGATGGTTCCTCTTGAATTTCGTTTGAACCTTCTGTCAGTCTGTGTGAGTGAGCTAGTGCTAAGATTGTTGTGTAAGAGGGATGCTGTGACCTTTGGTCCGTTGAGGTTTCCATCCCCACCCCCGGTTTTTTCTAATGATCCTAAGAGAATTGACAACCACACCGTCACGCGTCAACTCGGCTTATCTGAGGCCGCTTTCCATATGCTCGCCAGCTCTACACCCTCGATTCTATTCACGCTGTGATGCTTAGTAATTTCCACCGCCTCGGCTAGCTCTGAGGTCTTTACGCCCAGCTCTGTGTTGAGTGGAAGCAACCGTTAGGTGACCAGCGGCAACGAAGCATGAAATTACTGAACAGTCAACTCAGTCGGGTCGACAACTCCCTCCACCGTTAATGATACCTCTGGTCTGGCAGACGTAGCTCTTAGTTGCACACTTAGTGGTGCTCGTGCATCAAAGCCGTCGCCTTCAATGAGCAGCTACCGAGTTTCCCAAAAAATGATCCTGCTATCGTCTATGATGCTCGGAGATGTCTTCTACAATCCTCCATTTTCCGGTGGCCGAAACTGTAGTAGCTGATAAACAAACTGACAAATTGGCTTATGTGCATTCTTACACTGGATTTCCAGCAGCTCTATTCAGCCAGCGGACTTTCGAAGAAGTTTTACCATCGGTAAGATCCGGAATGCGACAAAAGACAAAATGTATTTTCATGGGGTCCCAGACAGTGCAGTCTGTATGGTAAGACCATTGAATGCTTCGCCTTATCAGATCCCTTGGCCTTAGGAAATCAATTGAGGACGTACCTGTTTGTGAATCTCGCGGAGACTTGACCACAAATCGCGTGCATTTGAACCGATCATTCGAGCAGTTTAATTTAGGTCTCACCTAGCCACAGACCATATCCGCTCATGTATACATCCCTTGATGGGTCCTATCAACGATAGATCCTTCATTGACACTACAAAACTCTTACGGGATATTTTCTTGTGAACGTTATTCAGTGGTTATTTGGCTCACTCGATTAAGCACAACAGTACTTACGGGATAGGATGTTTACTTCTGGTTGACCAATATAAGATGACCTAATCGGTTGTTTCTGAGATCTCTTACCCTCTATCCGAGTAGGCTCTCTCTTTTAAAAGTATGTCTGTCCTCGATTCATGGAACACGATCACGGATGTAAGCGATGTATGGCCTGTCTTTTCGGAAACGCACTAAATCATGGCTGACAAAGTGCTCCAAGCCCCCCTCCCTGCAGGAGAGTAGTCCCTCTCTCTCTCTCGATGGGTCAGGAAAACGAATCTGGGACCAAACAGTCACATTGTTTCTAAAGCGTGACAGCCGGGATTGATGAGTTGTTGTGGTCAGACTTCCCAGAATTCGTCAACCTGTTGATCGGCCAATATGGCCAAATTCCAACGGAATGTTTTGTAGCCTTGCCAACTGATAGACAGTGCCGTTGAGATCAGTACTTTAATCTATCGATTTTGCCAATAAACTCTGAAAAACAAAAAAACATGAACTAAGTGTGCTACACTCGCTAATGCATAGCTGTCGAATACTTTTGGTTCACTTATTCAATGTCTGACGTTTTTATATTATTGTAATCCACTTAAGATCGATGTTTTCGCTAGAGATATGAGGCTTTAAGCGAAAGGTGTCATTGAGCCGATTCGATACACTATAGAAAGTGCAGAATATCACGGTCTGAAACCATATATGAATGCACAAATCACAAAACTCCTGAACGTAATCCACCAAGCAGCGGCAGATCGGTGTTTTGGCCCGTTCCAAACAAAGCAAGACTCTGCACCACCCGGAGAACGATGGTCAGCTGCATCATGTGCGTCACGTGCAGCGGCAAATCAATACATTACAGGTTGTGAGGATTGTGCTGGCTAGCATTAAGGGTCCGCGGACCTATAAATACCTTGGACTTTTGTTTGATTCCCACCAGTATTTTACACAACAACAACATTTGAACGGCGAGAACACTGAGTGACAAACAGCAGGAAAGTAATGATACAAGGAATTCAATAAATTAGGTTGGGCGCCCAGCAGTCGTTCAGTTCATAGTAACTGACTAGATGTGGACCTAATCCGTGGTATTGTATTCGACAAGTATTCGTGACCAACAGCTTAAATGAGCATGGTGGTCCAATTCCTGTTATTGCTACTAAAGATGCCTGCTGCGCTCACGGGCATTGTTGAATGTGCAAACGGTACCAGTTAATTGTGGAACTTTTCTGTACAGTACAAGCAATTACCACCCATCGATGACCCCTGGAAACCTCTCTATTCGATTTCGTCAGCTGACTCTGCACCCAACACTTACTAGCCGGTTCCCGGGACATCTCTATGGATGGTGTGCACTCCTGTTAAACACGAGAAGAGGGTTTTGGTCAATATATCAGAGGGATTTTGGAGCTGCGCTGGTCACTACCGTCTTCCTGGATGGGGACCGCGAGACCGGTCACATCAATGGCTAGAGACATTGTCAGACATGGCCCAGTCGTGCCCTCGATGGCGCTCGTGCATCCAAGCTATTGCCTTCAGTGCCTAGCTCACTTCCCAATCCCCCACTTGACAACCCACTGACAATTCTGGATTATCGTACCAATTTATCATCTCTCCCCTGTAATAAGCAGCTACCAACCCCCCAACCCCAAAATCATCGGTGAACGAAACTGCAGCAGCTACAACCACTGTACGACGAGTACGCGGTTATTACAGCTGACAATGATGATGATGATGATGATGATGATGATGATGATGATGATGATGATGATGATGATGATGATGATGATGATGCTGGTTGTACGTTTGTTCATAAACCGTTCATCTCCTGTTGCGCCAAACGTGTTCCCCATCCTAAGAAAGCTTGAAAACGTTTTAGTTATATGCTCTTATCGAACGTTTTCGGCGGAATTTCCCGTCATCGATATAAGTTCTGAGCAACTTGGAGCATGTTCGGTGGACGGCTCCTCCAGTTCGCATAAACCGGTGAGAAGTCGCAAGCTTGAAAACGTTTTGGTTATATGCTCCCATCGAACGTTTTCGGCGGAATTTTCCGTCATCGATATAAGTTCCGAGCAACTTTGAGCATTTTCGGTGGACAGCTTCTCCAGTTCGCATAAACCGGTGAGAAGTCGATGGTTCGAATTCAACCGTCGGCATCCGTCTCGTTTTGTATCATGTGTCTTTTGAACTGTTGACTGTAAAGTTATGACCTCCCCGTCTTCTGCACAATAATCCTGATACTGCATGCTTCGAGCAATTGATGCAGGTAAGCAGAGTAAACAACTATTTGGTTTTTATGATAGGCTGAAGTAGAACATAAATTTGACGGAAACTGGGGAACTGCGTATACCTGATAAGTCCCAAGAAAGGCAAAACTGGTGTTTTGGTGCCGAAGAGTCTTCGGCAACCTTCTGAGTAGTTCCTTTCAAGAAAATTACGCACTTAACTCACATTATACGGAACAGCACCAACCTATTGAGTGAAATTCAATTTGTCTCATAAAGCTTTAAACATCTTTGGTTGTGTAAAGTTTTTTTTCGTATACCGAAAGTTTCTCTATTTTTATCGATTCCTGGCATCAGGCTGTATTGATTCTCTTACCTCATCTTACCTTTCTCTTGTACAGACATCTCCAGCGGCTTCTTCTTGTACACGGTCACTGGTGCTACCACCGGATTAGCTACACGATGCTCCTATACTACTTCAAATGTGTCGCCTGGGTGACGCTCAACATAATATTCACTTTCTACTCTGGATTCTCTGCAAATAGTTGGCATTCCAGTCTGATATTTGCATTGTACACATTGACTTTAACGGCGGTACCAAATTTATTTTTCGGGATTTTCGAAAGGCACATTACCGCTGATCAACTGTTGGAGAATCCGAAATTTTATCGATCGGTAGGTGTTATGGCCTTGATGTGGGTTCACTAATATTCACTTCTACTCTGGATTCTCTGCAAATAGTTGGCATTCCAGTCTGATATTTGCATTGTACACATTGACTTTAACGGCGGTACCAAATTTATTTTTCGGGATTTTCGAAAGGCACATTACCGCTGATCAACTGTTGGAGAATCCGAAATTTTATCGATCGGTAGGTGTTATGGCCTTGATGTGGGTTCACTGGGTTGGTTTAAGGCAGTGGTATATAGCACCAACCCTTGTCTCTCAAATCGGTAAACGACGATTGCACCTAAATGAGGTTGAGCTTCAAGTATCAAACTTATCGAAAATTCGATAACATCACAATCAATAGGGATATTGTTACGGTTTTCAACATGCAAAGACTTTTCCACTCATATCACCCATTTTATCGCCCGTGATTAACGACGTTCCCCAGATAGTGTTGTGCACGTGACGAACATCGATTTGGCTCCACAGCAGTATGAAATCCGTCTGTGTTCGTCGAACTTTTGAACTGCATGTGCTGGCCACTGTGTAACTATTGACGCTGAAACAGTCAACCCGCCTCTACAACGCTGCCATCTGTACGAGGCTGCTTATAGTTTAGTGAGTACGTAGTCACAGAAATCGTTTTACCAATGCTTTACATGGGGTTGCACCCAGTAGATGCCATTTTATTTCAACCGGGTTAGTACTTTATGGATACCATAGTTATACTTACATTGAATCAGCGGAAAATCAGAATGGAGGGTTGAATTAGTGCTTCTTCCGTGTCCAGCAATTCCAAAGTGCTGTTCTTTGCCGAAAAACACAGGATAAAGACGGCAAGGAACACACTTTCCAGCCTTTTATTTTTGACGGTTTTATGTAGCAGGATATCCAAAAGCCCACATTATTGTCTCGGACTTAACTACTCTCAAACTCAGGGGATATTTTCAATGTCACTGACATAATAATAAAATTAGTAACAATATTATTCCCTAAGGCTAGACGGGAGCAGTCAAGATGCAGCAGTTGGATTCGAACCAAGGACTTTACGGTCCGTAAGTTCGCCAGTTAACCACTGAGCTAACTTGAACTCATCCATAATATCGAAAGCAAGTTTGAAGTTCTTGTGGTGCCTTCACTACCAGGGTATGATTTAATGTAAATTCAATTACGTTTTCATTGGATATTTTGTCCCATAATTTAGGACAGACTATGTTGGAGGGACTAGAAATAGTATAGCTGTTTCACTCATCCATATATCGAAAGCAAGTTTGAAGTTCTTGTGGTGCCTTCACTACCAGGGTATGATTTAATGTAAATTCAATTACGTTTTCATTGGATATTTTGTCCCATAATTTAGGACAGACTATGTTGGAGGGACTAGAAATAGTATAGCTGTTTCATCCTTATTGGAAATGATCACCAGTGCACATCCCCCGAAACCCAAGGGGAGGTCGAACACGCTAACTCGCGACGACGAGTCCAAATACTGGACTATTCGTCCACAAGGGGCTGAATATCATCATCATCATCATCATCATCATCATCATCATCATCATCATCGACAGCATGACATCAGTGTTCAACACCGATGCTTCACTGCCGTACAACCATGACTTAGTTGAAA